CACGAGCCACGAGGCCCACGAGCCGCGGGAACTCGGGGGCTGCAGCAGCAGCAGGAGCGAGGAGGAGCTTGGCACAAACCCAAGGAGTTTCGCTCAACGCAGAGAAAATGTTTTGACTCCCAGTCGCCGGGCTTTTGTTACGGGTTTGATAGATTTGCTGTAAAAGGAAAAATGCCATCGCGCGACAAAAAGTTGGGAAATTTTCTTTGGGAAATGTCAAAATGAAACTCTTCCAGAGTGAAATGTCTCACCAGCAAAAGGCTGGCAGCAAATCCCCCCACGTCCTCGACAGGAGCAGCGGCGAGGGCTGGGGAAAGGCAGGGGGAGAGCAGGGGGAGGGCGAACCCCCCCAGCTACCCCCTCATCGGCAGCGCCACCCTAATTACAGGGAAAAATCACAGCCCTTTTCCAGCAGCCGAAGCGGGAGAGGGGCTGCTCTGAATGGGAAGTTACATGGGATTTCATTAGTATTATTACTGTTATTATTTAATTCTCAAGGTCGCAGGATTTATGGACTGAGCTTACTTATTATCGGGCCCAGCCAAATAAAAATGATCGATCCCCGTGCCTGCTCTACGGCAACTCGCGGTGGCTCTCACAGTCACTAAAAAGGTTTTCTCTTCCAAAAAAAAAAAAAAGAGAGGAAAGAAAGAAAGGAAGAAAAAGAGCAAAAGGAAAAATGCGATAGGAGCCAGGGAGATGATGGATTACGGGAGATAATCCATCTTGTCAGCCCAGGACTACATAACCTTGATGTCAGCGGGTATTTTTCTCTGCCTGAGCTCTCCGGCTCGCCAGCGCCGGGACGGAGCCACAGCGGGAGGGAGCAGGCAGGCACGGCACAGGAAAACCGCTGGGATTTGGGGGTTCCCCTCACTCCCCTGTCCTGCGTGGGGAGGGGGGGGCAGTGCCCAGCCCCGCTCCCCAAGGGGGGTGTGGGGAAGGACGGAGGCAGGGGACAGCGGGGGACAGTGGGGACAGCAAGGGACAGCAGGGACAGTGGGGGACAGCAGGGGACAGTGGGGACAGCAAGGGACAGCAGGGAATTGGGGGCATTGGGGATATGAGGGACAGCGGGGACATCAGGGACAGCAGGGTCATTGCAGTTATCGGGGACAGCAGGGACAGCGGGGACAGTGGGGGCATTGGGGACATGAGGGACAGTGGGGACAGCAGGGACAGCAGGGACATCACAGCAGTGGGGGACAGCGGGGACAGCGGGGACAGCAGGGACAGTGGGGACAGCGGGGACAGCGGGGGACAGTGGGGAAGCGTCTCTGCCATTTTTATCTAACGCCGGCCGTGAAAATTGGTGTGAAATAAAAAAAGGCATCTCTGCCCACAGATGAAATCAATGGATTTGGCAGGGCGCCCGTGGACACCTCCGAGCAGCGCTTCCAATTTGCAGGACGGACGCCGGCTCGGTGCAGGTTCTTCCCTTTCTTCTCCTCCGTCTCCCCCACCCCTGCTCCTCCGCCCCAATTTTTTTCTTCTGTCTTTCCAATTTCCCTTTGATGTTCCTGTTATTTCTGCTTTCCACTTAATGGAAATCAGCCCTGGGTGTGTGTGGGGGGGGGTGTTTAGGGAGTCTCTGCACACACATTCCTGTCTCTTTTGATCAGAGGCAGCTCAGGGACGTGCTCGGTCCCGGTGTGCCAGGGGACAGGGATGAATTTGGGGACCATATGGGGCTGGGTGGGAGCTGTTGCTCCCTGGTGCCGTGGGTCCCCAGCCTCTCACCCTCCACCCTGTCTCTGCCTGGTCAGGCTCTGTAAGTGGTTTTGGGGCTGGGGATGGTCCCCTGGGCTCAGAGCAGCCCCACACATGGCAGGGAGCAGGGAGCACCAGGAGAGGCTGCACATGGTCCTGCCCCAGGCTCTGCTCCATCCCTCCTCCATCCCCATCCCTCCTCCATCCCCATCCCTCCTCCATCCCCATCCCTCCTCCACCTCCATTCTTCCTCCACCTCCATCCCTCCTCCACCTCCATCCCTCCTCCATCCCCATCCCTCCTCCACCTCCATTCTTCCTCCGCCTCCATCCCTCCTCCATCTCCATCCCTCCTCCACCTCCATTCTTCCTCCATCCCCATCCCTCCTCCACCTCCATTCTTCCTCCACCTCCATCCCTCCTCCATCTCCATCCTCCTTCCATCTCCATTTGGTCCTCCTCAGGGACACGCTGGAAAACAGCAAAAATGGAGTCAAATGGGTGTAAAACCAGCTCTCCCAAGGCTGTGAGCAGCCAGACGGGGTTTCCAGCCCCAGACCAGCTCTGTGCATCCCAAAAACCCAGCAGCACACAGCAGGGGCAGCAGCCAGGGCCGGCGGCTGGGATGTGGGAAGCCCCCCCTGTGAGCACGGGGAACCCCGGCAAAGCCCAGCAACAGCATGGAGAGGGCTGGGGGTGCAGAACTCCCGTGCTGTGCCGGTGAGGATGCGTCTGGGCAGCTTCCAGTGCGTGTGGCCGGGAGGGACAAACTGCTCGGAGGCATGGAGAGCCTGGGGGCTGGCAAAGCAGGGGCCTGGGGACTGCTGTCTGTCTGTCTGTCTGTCCGTCCCTGCAAAGGAGCTGCCCTGCAGGGATGAAGTCACCTGTCCGGCGGTTTTAGCAAGGGGTTAATTAAATATGGGTCTCCTGGGCCATGGGTGCCTCCAGGCCGATGTGCCGGTGACCGACATGCCGGTGACCGATGTGCCGGTGACCAATGTGCCGGTGACCGATGTGCCGGTGCCAGGCAGCACGGAGAGCACCGGCAGGAGCTCGGCAGGGGTTCACACGCGGGCAGGCGCTGCCTCCGTCCTGGCTGACACCGGCCCAGTTATTCCCCAGAAGTTAAACATTACACAACTCCGCTCCATCAGAGCTTCAAGGCAAATGTGACGTTAATCACAAAAACCTTGATATTCTGCAGGAGACTTAAGCCCTGGAAGGGAAAGGGAAAAAAAAAACCCAATGCTTTCTTTCCGTCGCTTTCATTTTACTTTGAGGTTAATAGAAGGCTAATTTGAAAGCACTCAGTTAATGAGAAAGCTAAAAATACTCCTCCTGTGCGGACCCTTCCTCCGTAGCGCCTGCCTCGGTGGCATCGGCTGCAGACGATGCTCCCGCAGCCTGGGGACATGCTGCCCCTCTCTCTGGAAGGAGGGATGTGGGACCTTGGTGGCCTCCCCAGCGGGGACGTGTCCCAGCCACAGCTGGGGTCATGCCACAGCCCCCGGGCTGGCTCGGGCAGCAGTGGGGGGACCCACACAGGCATCTGTGGGGCTGAGGCTCCCAGGACCTTGGGTTGGCCACGTGTGGGAAAGGGGATGAGGATGGGGATGGCTGGGACTTGCAACCACACCATCATCCCCCAAAAAGGAGCGGGGCTGGGGGGACCAGGGCACCCACGAAACGTAAGCCCTCATCCCACCGGTCCCTGGCTGCCTTGCCCATCACCTGGAAGACGCTGCTGCTGAGGGAATGCGCTGCTTTCCAGCGCATCCCTGTGATGGGGAGCTGATGTTGTGTGGCTGGTTACAGCACGGCCCTGGCTGCTCGGGGGGGACAAAGCATGATCCACCCTGAAAATGTCCTGGGGAGCCCTGAGCTGACGTGGGGGGGCTCCCCCTTTGTACCCATCACCCCACCAACACCCTCATCCCCCACGATGTTCCCCTTTGAACCCGCAGCAGCTCCCAGGGACACCCACAGGCACGGAGCCCCCACGGTGGGGACACGGCCCAGCAGACCCCCCCCCACCTCCCTCCTCTCCCCCCGCAAGCTGCGGGGCCGGGGGACACCAGCTCAGCCACCCCGTGTGTAAAACAGGGTTAACAAATCTCCTCCGCCTCCCTCAGGTGTCTGCTCATCCAG